TAAGATTTTATTAAAAAAATAAAGTTTAAAAAAATAAACGCAGGCAAATTTGCCTGTGTTACAATTTAAGGGATAAACAAGAGTTACATTTTTTTAAAAAAAATTTACTATGTTAGGGTAAAAGTACTCTAAATTATATAAATTCAATTGAATAAAATTGACCAATCATGAGGAAGTTTTTCTATATTAATGAATCCCATGATGATCTTCAGAAAGGCTGTAAATCTTAGTAAAAAAACTTAATAAATTCAAAAGAATAAAATATATATACTGTATATTGTATAAATAAAATAAACTAAAATTTATTAAACAATTAGATGTGATATCTTTTTTGCTTCAGACATTTATCAGATTCTGATTTTCTAATATATATAAAATTTTACTATTAAACTTTTAGTTGCTTTTAAACTAGGGATTGAACCTATTATTACAATACAATTACCTGAAATATATAATAAATTACTGGTAATTTAATAATACTCGGGTAAAGATTTTCTCAACGGGTCCAATCTTTAGTTTAAACAAACTATATAAGGTAGCAAGCTATTAAAATAAAATTTTGCAATAAGGCTACACAGTTTTAATATCTTGATTTTCATAACATGAAACTTCTAAACAGACCCGGCTGGCCAGCTTTTTTTTTAAAATTTCATATATAAATTGTGTTAAAAATTTTTTAAATACCCACCTGGTTAATAAAACATAAAAAAAATTTTTTTATAGGTTTCAAATTTGACCCGGCTGGGGTTATGAAACTAATTAATTAATTTTGCATGGCCTTACTTTTAAATTAATTAAAAATTTTATTGTATAATAAAAAATTCCTAGATCTATTATTTTTTTTAGTCAAATAATATAATGTCGCGGATCATAATTTAAAATGAAACCTACATTTTCTACTCAACCTGTTAACCTTCTAAAACCCACTTATACTTGTTTATTATAACTTTACTTTAAAACTAACCCCTAGCCCTAACCCCTATCTCTAAAAAATACACCCCAAAAAATTTTATTTTTCGAAATTTTATATTATAATTTCATTTTGATCTGGATTTCATTATGATCCGCCACAATAAATTCAGGTTAAAAACATAATAAACTTTGAAAATTAAATAGTTTAAATATTTTTTTAAATAAAAATCATATAAAAACATTTTTCAAAAGAAGCAAGTTGATTGTATTTTAAACCATTACTCATGATTAGTAAATTAAAAAAATATTTTCAAAGTTAATGTTTAAAGCATTATTCAAACTAAAAGTAGATTTAGGTTTGAAAAATTTATGTTTTTCGAAACTGACAAGCATTGTAACATAAAAAAAACATGATAATTTGCAAGGAAAATGTTAATGTTAAACATTATATACTTATTTAGTTTAGCAAAATATAGCAATACAGTGTATGTATCGCGACATATATGTATTGCATCAGAGGTCAATACGTATCTATGTTTATTTTTTATTGCATTGCATTATGCCAAGTTTGAAATATATTGGTACATTTTTCAATCTAATTTTCACATAGATAAAAGTCAAATACAGTAAGTAATACGTATCAAGTACATCAAGTACAGCTAAAAAGTGGATTATCAAATACAGTATATATATATATATATATATATATAATATATATAAAATACAATATTGTTATTACGAAATTGGGGAGATTAAAATGCAAATAGATTTGATGTAATTATCGAAATACGGTAGTGCAATTGAAATAATCACTTTGAGATACGATATTTAACAATTCCTTTCGCTTGGTGGACTAAACAAATAAATAAAAAAAATTGGTAAATTATAAATGGTCAGATTAAAAAAAATATACAGTATTTATATCGTTATAAAATATATTTACCGCCATGGAACCCCCAGAGCATCAAATATTTCCCTTTCAGTTCTTTGTGCAACCAATGTCCCTTCAAAACTTAAACCATCGCGACCTCGAGAGATATCCTTATATAAACCATGATTATTCAGTTTCATTTTCTGTGATATAAAAATTTTTAATTACGCGACATTCGAATAAATAGAAACAATTTGTGAACTCTTGAATTTGAATAATTACCTGTTTTCTTGCAAGCAATCTCATACTTCGGTTAAAAACATCGTTTCCTGTAAAAGCTAATAATGCAGCACCTAATTCATTAAATGGAACAGTGAAAAGATCTAGAATTCAAAGAAAATTAGCATTTGACATCAAATTTCAATTAAAAGACATAAACAATAAACATAATTCATAAACATAATATAAAGCAGTTTTTTTTTCTTTACCTATTCGACGATATTTTCCATCGGGTAACTTACAAATTCCAAAATATCTTGACGAGGCTTTT